CGACAAGGAGATCCTTTATCTCCTTTCCTGTTTTTGTTGATTGGAGAAAGATTGTGTGGTTTAGTCAAGAAAGTAGAGATGGAAGGGTTGTTGCGTGGTATTGAGGTTGGGAAGAGAGCGTTGGCGGTTTCGTTGCTCTAATTCGCTGATGACACAGTTATCTTAGGAAGGGCAGATAGTCAAAATGTGTTTATGGTTAAATCTATTTTGCGATGGTTTGAATTGATGTCTGGGTTGTGGATTAATTTCAGCAAAAGTAGTGTTTACGGATTAAATGTGTCGGAGACGTGGTTGAAAGGGGTAGCTACAACTTTTAGTTGTGGAATGGGGGAATTCCTGTTTATCTATTTAGGGTTGCCTGTCGGTGGGAACCCAAGAAATAAAAAGTTGTGGAGCCCGGTTGTGAAAAAGTTTCGTGCCAAACTTGCCATCTGGAAGTCTGCTATCCTTTCCTTTGGGGGCCGCCTCACTCTACTCAATTCGATACTTTCTGCTTTACCTATTTTTTATATGTCTTTACTTTTAATGCCAAAAGCAGTGATTTTTGAGTTGATTTTTATTCAAAGGAATTTTTTATGGGGTGGGCCTGAGTTAAAAAGGAAGATTGCTTGGGTCAAGTGGGATCTTATTTGTTGTAGTAAGGAGAAAGGAGGTTTAGGGGTGCAAGATTTATGTAGGAGAAATTGGGTGTTATTAGGAAAGTGGTGGTTTCGCTTTGGTGACGATGTGGCGAATTTATGGAAACAGGTGTTGAGGGATAAATACTATGGGGGTAAGGAGGTGCTAGATATCACTGCAGTGGACACTTGGCAGCTGTCCAAGATTTGGGGTGATGTTATTCATATAGGAGGGATTTCTGAGAGGCTACAAAATATGCTAGTGAGAGGGTTCAAGTGGGAGGTAAGTGATGGTCGAAAGGTGGGCTTCTGAAGGGATAGTTGGGTGGGAGATAAACCTTTACGAGACTTATGTCCTAGATTATATGAATTGAGTACAAACCGAGAGGGTATGGTTAGTGAGATGGGGGATTGGAAAAGGGATAGATGGTGTTGGAATATTGCATGGAGAAGGGAGAGAAGGGGGCAGGGAAAGGGATGAAGAGGATTTGTTAATGAAGTTGCTAGGAAAGGTTCGAATAAAGATTGGTGGGGATGATAGTTGGAGATGGGTGCATGATTCTGAAGGAAATTATGTAGTGAAGAAAGCTTATGAGTTCTTAGCTCCTTTGGAGTCTATTTTGCAGGGCCAGCTTTGTCGATTGGTTTGGTGCAATTTAGTGCCATCCAAGGTATCTTTTTTTGGGTGGAGGTTATGTCTTAATAGACTTCCAACAAAAGGGAACTTATACAAAAGAGGGGTAGATATGCAAGAAGGAAGTTTAATGTGTAGTTTTTGCAACGAGGCAATGGAGGAAATAGATCATTTATTTTGTACATGTAAGGAAGTATGGTTACTATGGGCAAAGGTACTTCATTGGTGGGGGGTGGAATCTATGTTACCAAATTCAGTGGCAGCCATAGCTGAATTTTTCTGGTCTAGTTTTGGTAGGTTGGTTGGGAAAGAGATGGGTGCTTGTATGTTTCTAATAGTTTCTTGGTATTTGTGGTATTGGAGAAATGGGAGCTTCAAGGAGAAATTGTTGGATATGGTTCAAATCAAGTCCTTTTCTTGGATTAAATCTAAGAATACTAGTGCCATGTTCTCCTTTCATGAATGGACGGGTGACCCAGTTGCTTGTGCATTGGAGGTGAGGAGGCATAAAAAGGAACTAAAGAGGTATTTGAAGCTAAAACAGGGTCATATATGATCGGCAGTGGGGGCTTGATTGCTTTTGGCTTATGTGTTTTTATTATAAATGATGTCAGTTTTGCTATGTCTTTGTTATGATGGTTTAGTCTTTTATTATGTAAATGGGTTAGAGTACCCCTTGTACTCTTATTAATAAATTATTTTAATTTGCTTATCAAAAAAACATATAAAGGTCTATTTCTATACAAGTTTTTCATATTATATTTATACAAAATTTTAATCATTTATTTTTTTATTTTTAGTCATTAAAATTTATTCATATTTATTAAAAACAATTATTTTTTTCACCTAAAAAGTTGTAATAAATTCTAACAATTAAAAGTAGATAGATAAAGGGAAATTGTTGAAATCTTGTATAAGTGTAGTATGTAAGATTTGTGTGTGAATGGATCTTTGTGTAAATAAATCCTTCCTCATATATAATAAGATCCACTTATATTCAAGTTTTACTCATTATATTTATATAAAATCTTATTAATTTATCTCTTCA